GAGAGAGAGAGAGAGAGAGAGAGAGAGAGAGAGAGAGAGAGAGAATCTCAAGTAGGCTCCACACTCAGCACAGAACCCAACTCCAGGCTCGATCCCATGACCCAGGGATCATGACCTGAGCTGGAATCAAGAGTTGGATGCTTAACCGACTGAGCCACCCAGGCACCCCAGATTTTGAACCATATTCTAAAGCTACAATAGTTAAAGCAAAGTGGCACTGGGACAAAAAAAGACAAATGCATCTAGAAATAGAAGAAGCTGCCTCTGGAGGGGTGTCGTTGTATCAGATAAAGTCTGAGCTGCTCCAGGCGCACGCTTCAGACGTACCTTTCTGCCTGTGCCTCCAGCTCTCCTCCCACCAATAAGCTGACCTCAACAAAGTTCCCCGTGTCTGGAGCTTTCTACTCCTTTGCATGTACAGTTTCTCCCATTGGAGCACAATTTGCTAAGTGTCATGGCTGCTGGCTGCCTCCCTGGACCCTGAAGTTCAGGGATTTGTGTCTCCCTTTTCCTTCTGTCCCATCCTGTCACCCCTTTACCATACACCTTGCCTTGAAAGTCTATCTCTGCCTGTCAGCTTTGTGGCCCAAGATGGCAGAAATTGTGACACCCTCAGGGACCTGCACAGTGCCTGGTATATATTAGGTGCTCAATAAATGCTAAATTAATCGGGAAATGGGTTAAAGAATTAAATGTAACTTAAAATCATTCAACAGGGGCATCCAGTTGGCTCAGTTGGTAGAGCATGCAACTCTTGATTTCAGGGTGAGTTCAAGCCCCACATTGGGCATGGAGCCTCCTTTAAAATATTTTATTTTATTTTTTTTAAATTTTTTTTTTCAACGTTTATTTATTTTTGGGACAGAGAGAGACAGAGCATGAACGGGGGAGGGGCAGAGAGAGGGAGACACAGAATCGGAAACAGGCTCCAGGCTCTGAGCCATCAGCCCAGAGCCCGACGCGGGGCTCGAACTCACGGACCGCGAGATCGTGACCTGGCTGAA